CATGGCTACTAGCTTCCCATCGACCCCTTGCCAAATCACACCATGCGCGCTCAACGTGGGTCGATTGCGATATCAGGCTCCTGACCCAGTCCTCGAGTTGTGGGATCTCACCCGGCATCTAGGCAACAGCTGCATCCAGTATAACACTGATAAGAAAGGATGAAAAAATGAAGACAATAAACAGGAATTAGGGATGGCGTCATACTTACGTTTGATATTCCATTTCTCAGGAAATGGCATACTTTCCGCCAGGATCAAGTCCGAGGTCTTCACTCGAACAAATCGGCCCATCCAGCCACGGTCTTTGTCCTCATCTATGCTCGAGAAATGTGCCCTAGTGGTTCGACGTTGAAGCTTTATTAGTCCCCCTCGATAGAGTCGGGGTCTATATAAGCATATAAGGTGGTCGAGGGTGAAGGGAAGCCCATCAACTTTGCTTGAGAAGAAATGAAATAATATCACTATCCTACAAAGGAAGGATGAATCTGGCCAAGAGTCACCTCGTACTTTTACAGAAGTCTATGATGATCGGATCCAAGGGACCCAACGTGAAAGGGTAAGTGTAAACACTTAAGAACCCTTCCACATGAGTGGTGATTGCCTCTTCTGGAGCAGGCACCACCACGTGTTTGTTACCCCAGTTGCAATCTTTTTTAACCTGAGAAAGAAGTTTTTCGGTGATCGAACATATATATCACGATACCGGCTCGCATCGGCCCGGCACCGAGGAAGTCTTTTCAACCTTAAAATCAGAGTCGAGAACACACCCTCCCGAGAAAAACTCTTCACGGCGTGGCTCCGCCGCTGGTTCCTCGCCGGCCGACCGTAACGATGAAGCCATCTCCTTTTGCGGAATGATTTTAGATGTTTTGGCCATTATAAGTGAGAAAGAATAGAGGTTGGAATTTTCTGTGTTTTGGGAAGAACGAGCAAAGAAATTCAAAGATCTGAAGACAGGAAGCTCTGAAGAATGCAAAGAACTATGAAGATTAGAATGAAAGGGATTGATAGAAAAGTTTGGGCAAAAGGAGGAAGATATATTTATAGGTTGAAGATGACGGTTCAGAACCGGTAGTGGCCGACAGCAACTGACAGGCATTTAATGCGTAGACGTCCGAACCGACGGGACGTTTCAGTACCCACTTGTCGCTGACGTCATGATTGAGCTCGTCGCTTACATCATGGTAAACCGAGGGGAAACTCGAAGACTCAATTCGTTTCTTGTCATTATACTCCAAAAAATGAGGGGACTATCTGTATACGGTCAAAATCGGACTTGCCTAATTTTGTATGGCTAATCGGAACCAGGGTGGCAGACCAAGGCTCGGGCCCGCCTTGTATCGAACCATGGCACAGAGATGGATTGTTAAGCTCATGAATCAATGACCAATCAAGATCGAGACCAGCCATGATCGAGATCAAAGCGGAATGGAGATCGAGCGAGATTGAAGGAAGCCTGCTAAGTCGAATAACAGAAAGCCGAGATATCCGTGATCGGGCAAGAATCGTGGCGGAAATCCCGGCATGTATCAAGTCGAGACCGGTTATTTAGTCAATCATGGGATTTCCTTCTGCATTTAGAATTGTACCAAAAGTAGAATTCCTCTACTATATAAAGGGAGTTCTAATCATTTTGTAAGCATCATATATTGACGCATAATCAAACAATATACAACATTTTTTCTCTCTTAAGCTCTGGTGTTCAGTTCATACCTTTTAAGCATACTCTGTTGTTCGAGGGTTGTAGTTATTCATCACATTGATTTGCTTTATTTTATTGTTAATTTTAACATTAATTCTCATATTTATTAGTTTGTGCCAAGTGAAATCACATATCCTTTGTCACGACCCTAAACCCAAACCCGGTCGTGATGGCGCCTCTCGTGAAGACAAGGCCAGCCGACACACTTTCAATTCACTTTAAGTAATTTAAATAATAAATACTAAGTCTTTAGCAGAAATAAAATCCCAAAATAAACAGTGAATAGTATGATTTGCGGAATTAAAAACCAACACAGCCCGACATCGGGGTGTCACCAGTCATGAGCATCTAAAACAATACTACAAGTCTGAAGTCTACTCCACTACTGCATAACTGAATCAGAAAGGAAATAGAATAGAGGGAGAATGCACTGGGCTGCGAATCATCGGGCAGCTACCTAGTAAATCTCCGGAAATCTGCTGGACAGCTCTCAACCCTCGCTAGCAGGACCTGTAGCGCCCGAAACTGCACACAGGGGTGCAGGGAGTAAAGTGAGTACTCCAACTCAGTGAGTAATAACAATAAATGAAGACTCAGCGATATAAAATCACGTTAAATTCAACATTAAGCTATAAGAGGCATAACAAAATCAGTAAACATAACTAAACAACGAAATCTCATAAAACACCTTTTAAGCAGTCAAACAATATATAGGAAAAACAACTAGAAATGGTAAACACACAAGAGCTGCCCCTCGGGCAAAGTAACAACAGAATTGGCCCCTCGGGCAATATCACAGAACATACCAGCCCCTCAGGCTATATCTCAGATCTCAATGGGTACCCACGCTCACTGGGGGTGTACAGACTCCGGGAGGGGTCCTTTACGGCACAAGCGCAATATCAAGCCATCTCGTGGAATCATAAACAGGCTCTCGGCCTCATATCAATCACAAGCCACCTCGTGGCGTACAACCTCAGGCCCTCGGCCTCATTATCATAATCGGTATATCACTGCTGCGGCGTGCAGCCCGACCCAAAAGTATCCTCACAACACAGGCCCTCGGTCTTACTCAGTCAGAATCTCATAAGCCCCTCGGGCAACAGTAAAACATGAAGCTCAGCACAAATATCTTTTAAAAATATCATTTAAGGTGTTTAAAACAGAATAACATAGCTGAGTTTTTGAAACCAGTAAAATATGGCATGACTGAGCACAAATGTGAAATCAAATAGTAAGGAAAAATATCAGTAAAAATCCCCTAAGGGTTCAAACAGTTGGCACGAAGCCCAAATATGACGTTTAGCCCAAAACATAATAATATCAAACAATTAGCTATCAAATAGGCAGTAAAACAGTCATTCGGGATGGACTAAGTCACAATCCCCAACGGTGCACGACCCCACGCTCGTCACCTAGCGTGTGCGTCACCTCAACATAGTTAAACGTTGTGTAATCCGGGGTTTCATACCCTCAGGACAGCATTTAAAATCATTACTCACCTCAATCCGGCCCAAACTCTAGCTCGCGATGCCTTTGCCCCTCGAATCAGCTTCCGGATGCTCTGAATCTACCAAAAACAGAACGTAACCATTAAATTATGCTAAAGGGATGAAGCCCACTCGAAAACAATAGAAAAGCAACGCGAATCCCGAAATTACCAAAACCCGACCACCGAGCCCATGTCGCGGAATTCGATAAAATTCACATCATTAGATTCCTTATCTCCCCACGAGTTCATGCATATCAAAAGTTCCAAAATCCGACCACAAATGGCCTTTCAAATCCTCAATCAAAGGCCTAGGTTTCTAAGCCCTAGTTTCTCTAATTTTACCCTTAATTACAGCTCTAATCCGCGAATTAATACCATAGAAACGAGTTTTCATAATCCAAAACCTTACCTCAATAATGTCTCCTTGAATTCTCTCTTCAAAATCGCCCAAAGCTCCAAAATTCGTGTTTAAAAGTAGTGAAACCCTCTGAAAATCGCGAAGGAGGAAATATAAACATTTTGACCCAGGCTTTTCGCACCTGCGGTCCAGATGTCGCGCCTGCGTGACCGCTTCTGCGGTCCCAATGGCCACACCTGCGGTTTCCACTTAAGCAGCCAAAACCGCATCTGCGATGTGCTGCCCACACCTGCGCTATCGCAGGTGCGCTCCCCTTACCGCTTCTGCGGTTCCAGCTGATCAGGCCTTTGGCCGCATCTGCGACCCCATTTTCGCTTCTGCGAGACCGCACCTGCGGTCACCTAGCCGCAGGTGCGGTTATGACAGCAATTCCAACACTTCAGCTGCCAAACCAACTTCCAAACTTCCCGTCAACCATCCGAAATCACCCCGAGGCCCCGGGACCTCAACCAACAGTACAAACACATCATATACTACTATTCAAACTTATACCAACCTTCAAAACACCTCAAACAACGTCAAAACCACCAAAACACATCGAATTCAAGCCTAAGGTTCTAACATCTTCCGAATTCCGCTTTTGATCAAAAAGTATACCAAACCACGTCCGAATGACCTGAAATTTTGCACACACATTCCAATGACATAACGAAGCTGCTGCAACTTCCGGAATTCCATTCCGACCCCTATATCAAAATCTCACCTATCAACCGGAAAACGCCAAAACTCATTTTCGCCAATTCAAGTCTAAATCTACTCCGGACCTCCAAAACACGTTCCGATCACACTCCTAATACCAAATCATCTCCCGAAGCTATCCGAACCATCGGAACTCACATCCGAGCTCTCTAACACACAAGTCAACATCCGGTTGACTTTTCCAACTTAAGCTTTCTTAAAAGAGACTAAGTGTCTCAAACCTTCTCAAAACCTTTCCGAACCCGAGCCAACCAACCCGATCACCTATAGAACCAATAAACAAAGCAAATAGAAGCAGAAATGGGGGAAACGGAGCGGTAACTCATGAGACGACCGGCCGGGTCGTCACATCCTTAAAACCACTTATAAGTTTAATTGTTATCCAATTTTAAGGGTAAACATAATAATATTCAAACTGGTAGCAATGCAATGTAAATAATTGAACTCTTCAGACAGCATTTTCAAGATTTTGCATCATATTTTTAAGATTCTATATAACAAAAGAAACCAAAAAAAAAAGAAGGAAGAGAGATTTAAGGGTTTAACTTTTGTACAGCTTTTCAACAGAAATCCACAAGTCCTAGGACAACCTTGAAAGCATGGTGCTAAATATTTCAACTTCATGTTGCACATATTGCTTCTGCTTATTCTTCAGCTCCTTGTACATGAGCTTCACATCTCTGCTAAGATCAGTTAAACTTTGAGAACACATTGAGGAAAGTAAAAAAGCAGCCCGGTGCACTAAGCAATTCACCTATACGCGGGGTCTTGGGAAGGGCCGGACCACAAGGGTCTATTGTACGCAACTTTACCCTGCATTTCTGCAAGAGACTGTTTCCACAGCTCGAACTTGTGACCTCCTGGTCACATGGCAGTAACTTTATCAGTTACGCCAAGGCTTCCCTTAAAACATTGAGGAAAGTACCGCACGAAAATAAATAAATAAATAGCATATATATCTACCAATGTATGTATGTATGTTCAAGAATCAGGCTGAAAAAATTTGTAGGAGGCAAAGTATAAAGACAAATACCTGTTGTTTGGATCAACTTTAAGAGCTTTCCTAATATCAATTTCAGCCTTTTCCAATTCATTGATTCTCAGGTATGCTTGAGCCCTTCTAAAAAGAGCCTTAACATTGCGAGGATCATACTCTATAACCTGTTTCCACATTACACAAGAAGATATAAAATCAAAAATTATCTTATCAGTAACACAGATATCAAGGAAACAGCCTCTCTGTCCGTCCGGGGTAGGGGTAAGGCTGCGTACATCTCACCCTCCCCAAACCCACTTGTGGGAATACACTGGGTCATTGTTGTTGTTGTAGTAACACAGGTATCAACTCTCTGTGGTAAAAGTAAAGAGGAAGGGTAAGTAATGAACCTTGCTACATAGTTTTGAAGCTTCTTGATGCTCTCCAATCTTCAACTTACAAGCAGCATTATTCAAATAACACGATAATCGCAAAGTATTTGATTGGCACTTTTCATCGTCGTTGAACGAGTGATCAAACTGGATGAATTTCAATGCCTGGAATTCAGAATACATACTTCAGCTTACAGACAATATAATTATATACGTAGATCAAAGTATATTAATTTGAACAGTTCAAGAATGCAAAACTATTACATTCCTTCTCATACTTCCTTGAGGCACATTGAAATTTTCCATCTTTGAATAGTACATTTCCCTCATTCTTAGTTTTATCACATGCTTCAATTTTCTCCTTTGTGTCCATCTTCCAAAATGGTTTCTCCTATATGAATCAAGTAAATAGTTTTAAGAAACATTAACTGATCACTCTCAAAATAGAAGGATTATAACAACAACAACCCAGTAGAATCCCACCAGCGAGGTCTGGGGAGGATAGAGTGTATACAGACCTTACCCCTACCCCGGAGGGATAGAGAGCCTGTTTTCGGGAGACCCTCGGCTCAGACCTTACCCCTACCCTTACTCTGAAAATAGAAGGATTCTATTGATTAATTCCTTGTTAAAGAACCTTGTTGAAATCAACCAATTTGATCTCATAAAGCACAAAGTCTGCAGTTGCTAATTCTTCTATTTGATATCCAGGAATATATTCTGAGCTGATTGTAGCTATTGCTTCTTCTCCTTTTCTCATTGTCATGACAGCTCTATCTAAACCCTCATTTAATTGCCCTGCTTTGATCAACATAAGAAGAAGTTTATCTCACAATAGAATTGTAAAATTTGTAACTTCTTAGCAGAGACAGATCCAAAATTTGCACTTTATGAACTCGAGATGTCACCGAACCTATTTACAATTTGAGTTGCTGGGTTCGAAATTTGACATTTGTACATATTTAATAGATTTTTTAACATATATACAGGGTTTGAGCCAAAGCTACTAGGTTCGGCTGAACCCATGATTTATACCGTACATTTGACGCTGCTTCTAAGGTTAACCCTCTTTTCTAATTTATGAGACATAACTTTTATTTTTTACTTTTTTGAATGAAAAAGATTATTTTCAATTACTTTTTTATTTATCGAGGTATGCTGCAAGTTGGCCTGAACACCATCGTCATAAAAAAAAAGGGTAAAAGTAAAGAAAACGTACCTTCTAAACATACATATTCAAAGGGTTCATCATCTGATCCTTTCCTTTCAAATACGGTCCCATCTTGTAGCTTTGCAATATAAACCACTTCAAGAACATAAAATTCCAAACATCAAATCTTCTTGATTTCAGAGATGTATTGAACAAACAACGACGACGACGACCCAGTAAAATCCCACAAATGGGGTCTGGGGAGGATAGTGTGTACGTAGACCTTACAACTACCCCGATGGAGTAGAGAGGCTGTTTCCAAAAGACCCTCAGGCTCAAGAAGACGGAAAAGACGAGAAGAGAAGAGACAATATATCAGTACCATCAACAGAAATCAAGAACAAACAAAGTTAATTTGTGAAAATTACCTTTTACAAGGGATCCTTCATTAGGATGATCATAGCCTTCACCAACCTTAATTAACTTCTTAAGAACCTTCTTATCTCCAGTAACATCAACAACAGTTTTCCATGAAATCAGCTCAAGATGAATGTTCAAATTCAAATTTGGTTGTTTTATTCCATTTCCAACACCATCAAAATAATCTTCAAATTGATGAAAGCATAAGTTAATTATCTTCTTTTTGCTTATTAATAACATAATTTTGTGTTTAACATACTTACAAGCTGGTTTCACAGTTAACTCAGCTATTTCTCCTTTTCTCATTGTCTTCACAGATTTCGTCATGGCTGGAAAGAGGTAACCTAATAAAGGTGCAATTTTATTAGTACTTCTATATTTCTTAGTATGTAGAAGAAAAAGTAATTTAAACAAATATTTACCATCCAATAAAGAAAACTCTACACCATCATCAGATCTTGACAGAGTTTTTCCATCCGCAGAGCTTGCAACATACTTCACTATTCAATAAACAGAGGTAATAGAAATTTAAAAACATGAGGAAAAATGGAATAAAAATTGTTTACTAAAAAAAAAATTTTAATTCCTAGATATTTTTGGTCTTGAGTAATATAGTTGTCATGCATGAGCTGTATAAGAATTTCCAAATGATTTATAAACTCGTGTGTTCCACTTATTATCTCAAGATTTTTAATTGAACGTTCAAATTTTTTCACATGATATTATATAGAACTATTCATTTGTAAGTCCATTATTACACTCGTAAGTTTATATTAAAATTCATGTGTACCGTGTGAAATCCATCATCGTGTTACACGTGAAAGAGTATAGAGGTCTAAAATTACCTTAAGTTTTTTGGTTTACGCTTTCAATTTAAAATATATAGACATGAAGTTCAAGTTGATATGAATAATAGTAAAATGAAATAAGACATTACCTAATACTTCATCTACATCTTTAGGTGTAGCCCAGCCTTCACCTTCTTTTATTATTTTCTTCAATATTCCTCCATCTCCAGTGATATCTCTAACTGAATTCCAAGAGACCAATTCTATGTCAAAAACAAGTGTTGAATTGGGAGGAATTAGAGGAGGAGAACCAGTTTCTCCATATGCCAAATTTGGTGGAATTGTGAATATTGCTCTTTCACTCTTTTTCATTGTAGCAATTCCTTCATCCCATCCTTTAATAACTTCACCTGGAATTCAATAATCTTAGCTCAACAAAAATTCTGGCTCTCTTCGATTAGAAAATTGATATAATTTTGCTTAATTAGACATTTCATAAATGGTAAGCAGCCTGCTATAACATGTTAAATTACCCTGATGATTTAAGAAATTCATTACACTGGCAGTATATATTACTTAAATCCTGACAATATAAGAAAAGAAGGGCAGCCTTAGAGCAACGTAAAAGTTGTCTCCGTGTGACATATAGGTCATGGGTTGGAGCCGTGGATGCAGCCACTAATTCTTGCATTAGGGTAGGCTATCCACATCATACTCCTTGAGGTGCGGCCTTTCCCGGACCCTGCGTGCCTTGTTCCCCAGGCCACCCTTTGCCTGCCCTGAGAATATAAAAAAAAAGTCCGATTCACTAAGCTCCCGCTATGCATGGGGTTCAGGGAAGGGCCGGACCACAAGGGTCTATTGTACGCAGTCTTACCCTGCATTTCTGCAAGAGACTGTTTCCACTGCTCGAACCCGTGACCTCCTGGTCACATCGCAATAACTTTTACCAGTTACGCCATGGCAGTAACCCGTGACCTCATGAGAATATAAGAAACCAGTAATTGAATAATTTAAAAGAAACCAGAATATTACCTTGTCCTAGCTTGAATTCAAAAGGTTTTCCTTTGTCATGGCTAGAATCAAGAATCTCCCCATCTTCTAGTTTCACACTATAATGAACTAAATAAAACAAATGCAGCTGCAGTCAGTATTTTTTTCACTGTAAATGACAAACAAAAACTCAAGAGATAAGTAATTAATTAATCACGAGATTAATCAAAAAATCATGCCTTGGATTTCATCACCAGGTAATGGTGTCTTCCAAGAATTACCCTTTTGAAGAATCTTTTTTCTTAAGCCTTCTTTCCCAACGACATACTCTGGTAATTCTTGAATTTTTATTTCAAAATTCACTTTGTTACTTTTCTCAGAATTACAAGCAGCCATTTTTCTGTGATTTCTCTTTAGTGAAAAAAAGATAAGTTTGGTTTGAAGTAGATAAAGAAGGAGAACTGCAAGTTGAAGATAAGCCGTTAGTTTCCCACACTTTCAAAAGTTCTTTCAGTTAGGATTTTTTTCCTTTATCTTTTTTGCTGGGTTGTAACTAACTTGGTAGAAATAACACATTCTCAAATTAGGCCGAGCTACAGACGCCTGAGCTCGACCCATTATATTGGGCTTTGGCCCAAAATCACCAGACCGAAGAGCATATGGAGATTCAAAAAATTGTGGGGTATTATCACTTTTAGTCCGCGCCATAATTATTTATATATGGTAGTCGAAAAAGTATATCAAATTTAATAATTTTTGTATATAACATACATAATGTATGTATATACAAAAAATATACAAATTTTATATACATTTTTTCGGCTATTATTTTACAACGGCTATACAGTGTCTTTTTTTCCAAAAATTGCACGTCGTGTCGGAACTGGCCTTGGCAAAACTGTAGGCATATAAATTTTATTGGAATTAAATCCATAAAATAATTGGGACTATATTTTAAAATTCACGATATATTAGTTCAAATAAATTTATTGGACTAATATAATTGGATTAATTATAAGCCCAATATATATAGATTAAATAAATAAGCCTTAATCCATTGGGCTAGCCCATTTAGTTGGGCTACAAATGATGAGCCCCTTCACTAGGCCCAATATGTCATCTTCCTAGAGGCCCAGTTTGGTGCCAAGTGTCAAATAACATGGCACACCAAGTCAAACAAAAGAGCCAATGGGATCGTGCCACATGTCAAAATGACAAGGCATGGCAAGTCATTTTAAAAGGCCAATGAAACTGCGCCACATGTGCAAGTGACATGTTCTGGCCAATCAAATGCGGCCTTGTCACACTTCAATTTGATTGGTCGGAAAGAGTTTGTTCTTATCATAACTCTTCCCTCCCACAACTATAAATAGGGGTCTTCATAACCCAGAAATGACACCATAAGTTATAACAAGAAGCAAGAGAGAGCTCATGGATCAAATGCTGCAAATTAATTCCCCCACAAGTTTCAAGCTTCAAGCAATCAAGTTCAAGTTCAAGCTCAAAACGAAGAACAAATCAAGATTCAAGGAGTGCGAGTTCAAATCAAAGTTCGCGCCAGTTGAATTCAAGATCATCGTTCGTGACAGCAAATATAGATTCAAGATCAAGCTCAAAGCCCCTTGAATTTATTTACTGTTGAAAGGAAGAATAAGATGAATCATAGAGATTGTAACACTCATATTACCTGAAGTCAAATACTACGATTGTTGCAATATCTTTTGGCCTTGATTTTATTTTTCTCGACGCAATTTATTGCCTACAGAAACGTTCGAGTTTTTGACGATCTTATCGAAAAGTCCCCATTTTTTACTTGAACATCATAATTCTTCAATATTTAAAGCTTGAAATTCTTGTTTGACGGGGAAGGAGCAAACAGTAGAGCAACTTTTAGTAGTAATATCTTAAAGCAGAGTTGGTCCATAATAATCAAAACATTCTGGTTAGAACTATGGTATTTCATGGGAATAAAGATGAACCACGTTTAACCTCCTGAATAATATATAGCATCAACGACATTTAAAACATAAATTTAATTGTTGTAGGAAAATGGAAAAATATTTTATCAGTAACATACTCATTTGGAAAAGAACAAAAGAAAGAACATTTTAAAGAGGAGGAGACAGCGCAGCATCTAGGATGATTGGTATACCCTTAAATTGGGCTGAGCAAGTCCAAGAACCTAGCCGAGCCGATTCAGAAAAAGGCCCAACATTGGCCCAATATGAACTTTCAGGCCTAGTCCGGTCTGAGACTAAACCGGAAGAAATTAAAAAATAGCCAGATTTACAACTGGTCGTTCAAAAATAGCCCAGTTTTAAAAGTAATCGAAATTTAGCCACTTTTCATGTAAAGATAAATCTGAGCGAAAACACTGCTCAAAACCCGGAAAAATACGTCAGTATATTATGCTGGAGTTCCAGCATAAGTATACTTGAACACCAGCATATTATACTGGAATTCCAAGATAAGTATGCTGGAACTCCAGCATAATATGATGGAGTTCCAGCATAACTACACTAGAACTCCAGCATAATATACTGGAGTTCCAGCAAGTATACCGGTCCGGCATAATATATTGGAATTTGGAGCACCGGTGCTCCAGTCTCCAGTATATTATACTGGAGCCAGCAAAGTATACCGGTCCAGCATAATATGCTGGAGTTCATACACAGGTGCACCGAACTCCAGTATATTATGTTGGACCGGTCTCTGCTGCAGCAAAATAGTGGCTATTTTTCATTGACTTGGTAAACGCTGGCTATTTTTGAATGACCAGTCCGAAAACTGGCTATACTGTGCTATTTTGACGACTAAACTCGTTATAGCATTTTCTAGCCCAGGACTGGCCCAGTCCAGGACGTGTCTGATCCTAGAAGAAATTCAGAATTAGAGGGTGTTTGGATTGGCTTAAAAGCTGATCCAAACCAGCTTAAAAGCACTTTTTAGCTTGTTTGACTGTTTGGTAACTTTAAAAATAACTTTTAAGTTAGGAATTTTTACATACCTATACACTATTGGAAACTTTATTACCCTCCTTACTCAAGTTTCAATTTAATTACATCATATATACAAATTTACCAATTATATACACTTTAGGAATTAAATAAGTATCCCTTTATATTAGGAATCAATTATTTCCCATCCTTATTCTCTCTCCCTCATGCTCTCTCTCTCTCTCTCTATATATATATATATATATATATGTGTGTGTGTGTGTGTCTCTCTCTATCTCTCAACTCCTAACTTCCTAGTAATGTAGAGANAATGCCCTAAACTATTGGAAAAGGTTTAAAAATACCCTTCATCAACCTATTGGGCTAAAAATAGCCCTCCATCCACCTTTTTGGTTCACTTATGCCCTTTGACCGTTAGGTCAATACTGAATTAAAAATAATCACTATTCTTTTTGTAAAACTTAAAAAAAAATATTTCACAAAATATTTTCGTTTTTTTTAAACTAATGCACCAGTAGTCCACTAATTTAGTAAAGTCTTCTTTTTTTTTTTTTTTCAGTTTTCACAAAACACAATCAATTTTTACAAAAAAATACTTTTTTTTTATTTTTTCAGTTTTTTGAAAGCATTTTTTCTAAAAACTGAAAAAAATTGTAAAAACAGAAAAAAAATGTTTTTAATAAAATATTTTCGTTCTTAACTGAAAAACATATTTTCAACAAAATATTTTCGTTTTTGAAAATTATTTTCTTTTTCATTTTTTTCATTTTTTTTTAAAAAACGAAAATATTTTTTCTTTAAAAAAAAACTGAAAAACGAAAATAAAACGAAATGTTTTAAGAAAACTGAAAAAAATGAAAAAAAATATTTTTCAAAAACGAGAATACTTTTTTTAGTTTCTAAAAAACGAAATTAAAAATAATTTTTTTATGCTTTTACAATTTTTTTTCCAGTTTTTACAAAAAAAAAAGCTTTAAAAAAAATGAAAAAAATGAAAAAAAAAACTTTTTTTTTTGTAAAAACTGAATTGTTTTTTTGTAAAAACTGAAAAAATAATAAGAAGACTTTACCAAATTAGTGGACTATTGATTCATTAGTTTAAAAAAATGCAATATTTTGCAAAATATTTTTTGTAAGCTTTACAAAAAGAATAATAATTATTTTTAATTTAGCATTGACCTAACGGTCAAAGGGCATAAGTGAACCAAAAAAGAGGATGAAGGGGTATTTTTAGCCTAATAGGTGGATGAAGGGTATTTTTATACCTTTTCCAATAGTTTAAGGGCATTTTGAATTCTTTTACGAAGGAAAAGAGAGCAGCAATTCCACCATTGACAACCATTAAAAAGCTTTAAAGCTTTGAATTCGACTTTGGATTTTCAAAAGCCATTATTTGTTTGGATTGGTGTTGTTGCAAACAATTGGGAATATGGTTTGGAGTTTATATCTCAATTTTGAGGGTGTTTTGGTGAAGATTAGACTTGATTTTGGCTGAACTTCAGATTGAAACTCGAAGAAGAAGACGAAGACATGATATACATTATACTTACGAAATTGTAGAAAAATTGTATTCTGTTATTTATATATATTTTTTTTATTTAACTATTGTATGAAAGTTGAACAATATTGTATAATAATTGTATTTAAATTTTATGATATTGTAGTTGTATATAACTGAGTAGAAATAATGTATGAAAATTATAGATAAGTTGTATAATATATAATTAGTAGTATGAGATTTATTTTTACTATGTATAAATCAGATACAAAAGACATATTGTATAAAATTTGTATAAAAACTATATTTAAGTTGTATGATATTGTACTACAATTCAGATCATCCATTTCAGTTATATTGAATAAAGGTTATTGTACCCATAAACAGTTATATTGAATAATATTATATTGTTCAATATAATATGAGCAACACTTGTCAGTGTGCAAAAACCTTTCTCTTGCTGATTCTAGGAAGCCTATAAGCTTATAGATTTTGCTAGTTTGACGTACAATGACGAGGTCGAATGGGAGATGTGATTTTATTTTATCTTCTTTCTAAAACCTTGAAGGTCATGTGCACTTCCAAATATTATATTGGTAGTCATCCGGCACTGGAGAAGTTAGTACTTGGCAATCAGGCAGTTCGTAAAAGAGCCTGCAATCGACTTTTTCTTCAGATGATTTTTTCGAGCATTCCATGGTTTGAGTTGGCATTTTTTTCGATATTGATCCTCATACATATTTATATGATGCTAAACTATGAATATCAAATTCGTATTAAAATGTAGGAAACTTTTTGAAATTAAAGCCTGCTGTCAAGCTCTGAACATTTTTTTGGTTACGTCCATTTAAGTGTTTGGGAATTGCCATTTGTGAATTGCCGTTTATGAAAAGGGTGGAAGATCCGGAGAGAAAGGGGAAAGATGAGAGAAAAAAGGAAAAATGTACAACTAAATCCCTTGATTAAATACACTAATAATGGATTGGGAGCCTTTTAAGGTGGATTATAAATATTTTGTAACTAAAATGTGTCTAGGTCGGGTAAATACCAATACATAAATATTTTTCGTAATAAGGTTTTAAATAGTGT